AAGAAATTGCTGCTTAAACAATGAAAACAAAAACTTTTTGAACTCTATTCCTTAATTGAGTATAGAAGTATAGAACGGTTTAGTTACAAGAGTTGAATTCGAGGAAAGTATAAAATATAGGAAAGTCCCAGGTTAAATAGGTTAAATAAAAAAAACTAAGACTCTAAACTCAAATCAAAAATAATGAACCTTCAACCTCAAATTCCTATTTGAACAACTTTTTATTGTTATTGATCCATTTGAATCATTACTAAACTAAAATAGCTTACTCAATCTCGACGATTGCTTATTCATAGGCTATTATGAGTTCAAGACAAGCCGCTATGGTGAAATTGGTAGACACGCTGCTCTTAGGAAGCAGTGCTAATGCATCTCGGTTCGAGTCCGAGTGGCGGCATAGCATCTTCTAAAAAGGATAAATAGATCTTATAATGAATTCAATTCCCGATTTCCATTTTAGAATTATGTAATTAAGGGACTCTTCTTTTTTAAGATTTTTTATGATATTTTCAACCTTAGAGCATATATTAACTCACATTTCCTTTTCGATCGTTTCAATTGTAATTACAATTCATTTGATAACCTTTTTAGTCGATGAAATTGTAAAACTATACGATTCGTCAGAAAAGGGCATAATAGTTACTTTTTTCTGTATAACAGGATTATTAGTTACTCGTTGGATTTCTTCAGGACATTTCCCACTAAGCGATTTATATGAATCATTAATTTTCCTTTCATGGAGTTTCTCCCTTATTCATATAATTCCATATTTCAAAAAAAATGTTTTAATTTTAAGTAAAATAACTGGACCAAGTGCTATTTTGACCCAAGGCTTTGCTACTTCAGGTATTTTAACTGAAATACACCAATCTGGAATATTAGTACCTGCTCTTCAATCTGAGTGGTTAATAATGCACGTAAGTATGATGATATTGGGCTATGCAGCCCTTTTATGTGGATCGTTATTATCAGTAGCACTTCTAGTGATTACATTTCGAAAAAACAGAAAGCTTTTTTATAAGAGCAATGGTTTTTTAAACGAGTCATTTTTCTTGGGTGAAAATGTTGTCGAAAATACTTCGTTTTTTTGTGCTCAAAATTATTACAGGTCCCAATTGATTCAACAATTGGATTATTGGAGTTATCGGGTTATTAGTTTAGGATTTACTTTTTTAACCATAGGAATCCTTTCGGGAGCGGTATGGGCTAATGAAGCGTGGGGGTCCTATTGGAATTGGGATCCAAAAGAAACTTGGGCATTTATTACTTGGATCGTATTTGCAATTTATTTACATACTCGAACAAATAGAAATTTGCGGGGTCCAAATTCTGCAATTGTAGCGTCTATAGGTTTTCTTATAATTTGGATATGCTATTTTGGGGTCAATCTATTAGGAATAGGGTTACATAGTTATGGTTCTTTTCCATCAACATTTAATTGAATTCAAGACAAGTTATTACAAATACAAGAGCGGGCGACGCATTGTATGAACCAGCATGCGGACCGTGTGAATCAAATATTGTATTGATGATTCACACGGTTTTCTACCATATGTAGTTCAATTTCATTGTTTTTACTTAATTCTTAAGTTAAGAGAAGAAAAAAAGTCTTCTTTTTTTCATTGTCCAAGAATGTTTTTAAAAACAAACATAGGTTTTTTTATTTCAGTCATCCAATTATCTATAAAAAAAATTAGATAGAATAACTTCGACCTTGTCAACTGCTAATGAAAGAACGAAATCGGGGTATATACCAATACCTATTACGGGTAAAAAGATGGAGATCGAAAGAAATAACTCTCGCGGTCCAGAATCAAAAAAAGAATCCTTCGGGGCGTTAAATAGCTTGTATCCATAGAACATCTGGCGTGGCATAGATAATGAATAAATAGGAGTTAATATAATTCCAATTGCCATTACAAAAGTAATTAGTAGTTTTGGAATTAAAAGATATTTTTGGCCGGTAATTATTCCAAAAAATACTATCAATTCGGCAACAAAACCACTCATACCTGGTAATGCAAGGGAAGCCATCGAAAAGCTACTGAACATCGTGAACATTTTTGGCATTGGAATAGCTATTCCGCCCATTTCGTCAAGATAAACAAGGCGGATTCTATCATAAGTCGTTCCCGCCAAGAAAAAAAGTGCAGCACCAATAAATCCATGAGAGATTATTTGTAAAAGGGCTCCATTAAGTCCCGTATCGGTTAGAGAACTAATTCCTATAATTATGAAACCCATATGGGAGACAGAGGAATAGGCTATTCTTTTTTTTAAATTCCGTTGGCCAAGAGATGTTGAAGCTGCATAGATTATTTGTATTGTACCTATTATCATCAACCAAGGAGAAAATATAGAATGGGCATGAGGTAATAATTCCATATTGATTCGAATTAATCCATACGCTCCCATTTTTAATAAGATTCCGGCTAGAAGCATACAAGTACTGTAATGTGCTTCTCCATGGGTATCTGGTAACCATGTGTGTAGGGGGATAATGGGCGATTTGACAGCAAAAGCAATAAAAAATCCAATATAGAAGATTATTTCTAAAACCACAGGATATGACTGATTAACTGATGTTTCAAAATTTAATGTTGGTTCATTAGAACCATATAAAGCAACACCCAAAACTCCCATTAAGAGAAAAACAGAACCCCCCCGTGTACAAAATAAATTTTGTAGCTGAGTACAGACGTTTCTTTCCTCCCCACATGGCTAGAAGTAGATAAACAGGAATTAATTCTAACTCCCACATGATGAAAAAAAGTAAAAGGTCCCGAGACGAAAATGATCCAATTTGACCACTGTACATTGCTAACATGAGAAAATGGAATAATCTAGAATCTCGAGTAACTGGCCAAGCCGCTAAAGTCGCTAAAGTAGTGATAAATCCTGTTAATAAAATGGGTCCTATAGAAAGTCCATCTATTCCTAATCTCCAATGGAAATCAAAAAAATCGATCCATTTATAATCCTCTACTAGTTGGATTAATGGATCATCCGATTGGAAATGATAACAAAATGCATAAGTTGTTAGAAGGAGTTCTAAAATACATATACATATCGTATACCACCTAATTACCCTATTTCCTTTATGGGGAAGAAAGAAAATTAAAGAACCCGCAAATATCGGAAAAACGACAATTATTGTTAACCAAGGAAAATAATTCGTAGTAAAGACAAGATACACTTGGACCAAAAAAACCCGTGCTCAAAATATTTTTATTTTCGAGCACAGGTTTGTCGGTAAAAAAATTAAATGGATTCAAGTAGAGTTTTCTCGAACGTATCAATAAGCTAGACCCATACTGCGAGTTGTTTCATGCCATAAATAAACTCGGACACTCAAGAAATCTGTTGGACAGGCGGATTCACATCTCTTACAACCAACACAGTCCTCTGTTCGTGGAGCAGAAGCAATTTGTTTAGCCTTACAACCGTCCCAAGGTATCATTTCTAATACATCAGTGGGGCAGGCTCGGACACATTGAGTACATCCTATACACGTATCATAAATCTTTACTGAATGTGACATTGGGTCTATACGTTTTTGAATGTTATAAATTTTCGATCTAGTAAACTTAGAAACGAATCATATATTTAGATACCAGATGAATCAATGAGTTATCATGATTTTCTAATCAACCCCTTTCTGGATTGGTTTATGAGATATGAGAGAGGCCAAAATACTTTGATTTCTTATGTTTTGCAAACAAGATCATACTTTACGTAGTAAACATGCTAATTAAAATTGATTTCTCAATATTAGAATCTAGATGATTAATATTAATTATTCAACAAATTTGATTGGTTGATACGAGTTGATTTTCTGTTACGGTAAATTGATGAAACAATAGCCAGGCCAATGGCTGCTTCAGCGGCTGCAATAGCTATAACAAAAATTGAGAAAATGTCTCCCTTTAATTGACGATTATCAAAAAAATCAGAAAATGTTACAAAATTTATATTAACCGCATTCAATATAAGTTCAAGACACATAAGGGCTCTAACCATATTTCGACTTGTGATCAATCCATAGATACCGATAGAAAATAAATAGGCACTCAAAACAAGTACATGTTCGAGAATCATTAAACAACTCCTTATCAATCTCGACTCCTTTCAATATGAACAACAATTCAACTAATTTCATTGACTAGTATATAACAAGTATGGAACAAAGAAATAGATTGGTACTAGATTGACCTAAAGTCTTTCTATTTATCCAGCTAGAATTCAAATAGAATTCAAGGAAAATTAATGTGATAAGACAGAACAAAATTTTATTTGAATTCCAAGTTTTAATAGAAATTTTTTATTGACGAGCTACAGCAATTGCACCTATTAAAGCAACTAAAAGGATTATGGAAATAAGTTCAAATGGGAGAAAAAAATCTGTTGATAAATGAATTCCAATTTGTTGACTATTACTTAGAAAATCTTGCTCTATAATCTGGTTTGATCTTGTAGTCCAAATAATCCCGTACCATGACGTATCTGAAATAGTAGTAATTAGTGAAATAAAAAGACTTATACAAACCATCGAAGTAATTCCATCTCCTACGGTCCAAAGATGAAAATCCTTGTAATATTCTGAGCCATTCATGAACATCACAGCAAAAATGATTAAAACATTTATAGCTCCTACGTAAATAAGTAGCTGCGCAGCAGCTACAAAATAGGAGTTAGATAGAATATAGAATAACGATGTACAAATAAGAACCAATCCCAAGGAAAAGGCCGAATAAATTGGATTGGGAAGTAATACCACTCCTAGACCCCCTAATATAAGACCCGATCCTAGAAAGACTAAAAGAAAATCATGTATTGGTTCAGATAAATCCATTTTTTATAAAAAATCAAAAACGAAGAATTTCATGACTTTATTGACCTGACCAGGAAAAAAGAAGTTTTTCTATTTTTTATGATACTTTGAAATTGTTAATTGAATGAAAGTCTAATGGGTATGAATTGACGTAGATGCTTTTATTTTATTGGACCACTATCCATTCTTTATTCGTCGAAAGAGTAGTTTAAACCTATCTATTTTTGATATCATTTATCTACTTTGAAACCATTACTATTATAATATATAATATTGAAATCGGTTTTGTTTGTCAATCTAAATTAAGCTAGGAGTCTCATTAAGCAACCACTAGTTTGAATTGCCCAAGCAAAAATCTCATTGTTTTAGATCGAACT